TTGTTATTTCAAGTTCAGGCCCTTTTCTCCTACTTTCTCTTTAAATTGTTCTCCCTTGTTTTATGCATATTCATTCAACAAATATCCATTAACTACATGGGTAGTGTCAGATCTGTGCTAGGTTCTTAGGATACAGAGATATGTGATACAAGGTTCCTACCTTATTGAAAAGTTATTATTGTGTTAGTCTGCTTGAACTGCTAGAACAGAATGCCACAGCCTGGGTGACGTAAACAACAGAACTCTATTTTCTCATAGTTCTAGAGGCTGATAGTGCAAGATCGAAGTGCCAGCAGGGCTGGTTTCTCATGAGCCCTCTCTCCTGGCTTTCAGGGCACTCTTGTTCTTATGTGGACACTAGTCCTGTTGGATTGGGGCTCACACATATGACCTCATTTAATTTTAATTACTTCTTTAAAAGACCCTATTTCATATGAATTTGGGGTGAGGGGGACACAGTTCAATCCATAACAATTATGATTAGGAGAGGAATGTCCCAAGAGAACCAGGCAGCAACCTTAAGTCCTTGTATGACCTAACTTTATAGGGACCCTTCTACCAGAGTCACAGGTCTACATGGTTTTAAGGGGGTGGAGGGGGGAACAGAACATATTTGATGGAAGGAGCATCAGTGTTACATTGTAAAAAGAACATGTGGGCTAGGGCATCTTATTGTAACCTCTTGAAAAATATATTCTGTTACTGTAACTTTCATGGAACAGGCCCTAGAAAAAAAATAAGATTTCTCCAAAGGTGGGAACAGCCACCTGGGCAAGAGAACCAAATGTGGAAAAGGACATGGTTTGTTTGGGAACTGGAAGTTGGCCCTGTGTTGGGGCAGGAATCTTGTGGTAGAGAGATTAAAGAGATGATGCTGAGAAGGGAGAGTTAGGCCAGACTGTGAAGGGGCTTTCATATCAGGGTAAGCGATGGGGAAGCCATCAAGCTTTATAAGCAGGTGAGTGATGCTAAGTTCTTCACTGAGAATAACTAGTGGCCATGTGAAGAGTGGATTTGAGCAGTAGTTCTAACCTATCTTACTGCTTTACATCATTTTTGTGGGTAACACAGATCTATTGGTAATATTTGAATTACCCAAAGAGATTTTTAGCCCAAAGATAGGGATATAGGAGGAGTGGGTGGGAGCAGGTGCAGTACTTGTACCGGAATCTCATTTTGGGGGTGTGTGTGTTGTAGTTTGACTTCTCAGAAGAACACGCATACATACACTGTCTCTCATATACACACTTACACACAGACTCACACTCACTCAAAATGTAATACAATACATAAGGAAGAATGTTTTGAGACCCTGACATGGGTCAAGAAGCCACTGTAGGGTGTTTGTAAAGGAAAAGAACCTGAACCAAGCTTGGCATGGTGATGAAGAGGTGAGACTTGAGAGATGTTTGGATAACAGATTGGATGTGGCGGAGTAAAGAAAGGCAGTCAAAAGTGACAGGTTTTTAGTATTGGGTATGTTATAACAACATCTGAGGGAGGCAGACACAGGTATTGTCATCCAGTCTTCACAGATGAGTAAACAGGCTTAGAAACATTGATTTGCCCAAGATCAAATAGCTGTCAAGTGCTAGAGGTGCAACTTAAGTCAGGTCTTTCCAACTTCTGGTTCCATGTTCATGCCACATTGTTGCCATTAAGAAAGATTGAAGGCCAGGCCCGGTGGCTCACGCCTGTAATCCTAGCACTCTGGGAGGCCAAGGCAGGCAGATCGCTAAAGGTCAGGAGTTCAAAACCAGTCTGAGCCAGAGTGAGACCCTGATCTCTACTAAAAAAAAAAAAAATAGAAAGAAATTAATTGGCCAACTAAAATATATAGAAAAAATTTGCTGGGCATGGTGGCGAGTATCTATAGTCCCAGCTACTTGGGAGGCTGAGGCAGAAGGATCGCTTGAGCCCAGGAGTTTGAGGTTGCTGTGAGCTAGGCTGACACCATGGCACTCTAGCCAGGGCAAGAGAGTGAGACTCTGTCTCAAAAAAAAAAAAAAGAAAAGAAAAAAGATTGAAGAAAAAGGAACAAGTTTGTGAAAGAAGGTGAGTTTGATTTCAGAGGAGGGGAAATGTACATTATTGTGGGATTTCAGATGAAGCTTCTCTGTCAGCTGCTGAAAATGAGAGGCTGGAGTTAAGGAGTATATTGAGGAACAGAGTTGCAGATTTTGGAGACAACAGCACTTAGGTTCAAGCCTCAGACTGGATAGGATCACCCAGAAAAAGAACATGAAGAGAAGGTAAAAAAAAATGGCAAGAGTAGATTTCTGGGAGGTACCAGCATTTAAGGGGTTGGGGAAAAGGGATCAGAGAAGGAAAGGACAGGAAGAGTACGAATTCTATATTCTAGCTAGATCAGCATTCTTACTCTGTCCGAGATTAATCCCTTCATCCACAACTTTTGTTTGTGCAAGCTTCCTGTGTGGGCTTCAGCATCAGATAAATCTGGATTTGAATCTAGGCTCCTCCAGTCTGTGGCCTTTGGGGTGTTGGTTAACCCACAGCCTCACTTTTCTCAGCTGAGAGCAGGGATGACTAATTACCTCTCTCACAGTGTTTTGCAAATTAGTGTAATCTATCTGAAGATTCTTGCCTAGCATGCACTACTTCATAAAGATGGCCTCTTTCTCTGTCAGATGCTCCATTTGGGTTCAGCCTGGGACCACTGCCCCAGCCCTTTTTGGTTTCTTTACAGTTGTGTATCTTAGTGTGATTAGCTGTAATCATGATTAGCTCTTGCAATATCTGAGGCACATAATGTTAAAGCTAGAAAGAACCTTAGAAAACATGTTACAGAGGATGAAACAAGGGAAGTAATAAGAAACATCATCCTTGCCTTTGAGGAGCTTACAGTCTAGAAGGGAGACCTGTGCTGGCTCTGCCAGCCCTCACAGCCTTGTTTTGGCATTCAGCATCTATTGCCTTGGCTCATTTTCCAGTTGTTTGATCTGTTTTCTCCAAAATCACACTGTAATCTTTTATACATTTCTTACTGAAGTGTGAAATTCCATCTACGTGTTAAGTGAGCACAGTTTTGTCTTCTGGTTCTTTAACTCCCTGTCTACTTTTATTTCCCCTTGATAATAAAGCACCTTATGTAATGTGCTTGTTTGCATTTTGGGATGCTGTTGCAGAGAAAGATTCTTGCTCTGGTTAAAGGATCATAAAATATAACAAGAAAGCAGATGTAAAAGTACTTGTTTGGCATCTGACACATAGCAGTTCAATTTTTTTATCATAAAAAGTTACCAAGTAAAAATTTTTCTTCTATAAGACTGTTCCTCTCCCAACCCCCAGTATTCCTGATGTGATTAGGTGGGGGATGGAAAATGTTCCTATGCTGAGTACATCTTTAATTCAAAATTAGTTCTTTTGGGTTTCATCTTGTGTTACAAAATATGCTGAACTTGGTTCCTTTTGGGTTTTTTTTATTTTGTTGCAAACTCAGCCTGTCCCATCTCATCTTTAAGGTGTCAAACTGTGTTTGAGGTCAGCATTACTGGATATGGAAGCGATGTGTTTATAGTTTTTGAAGTAGTTATTTTCAAATATAGGTTTTGCTCAGTTTCAGCTTTTGCTTTCTAGACCCAAATCCATTTGGATACACTTTTAGATATGGCTGTCTGGAGGAAATATTATAGTATCCCTTGTTATCCAAAACTCTTACCGTGTGAAACTCAGGAACCTACTGCAGACCAAGAGCCAGGGATACCTGTATTACTATTGAGATTCTACCTTTAAAGTATCTAATTTGCATTCGGTAGAAATAAAAGTCACCTTGTCTTAGGTGGAATTGAGTCCAGTTTACAAGGTGTGTTGGTTTATTATTGTGTAAGGCTGTGAAAGGAATATGTCTTAAACATATCTTGAAGCACCTGCCACATGCATGTCAATGTATTTTATGAACTGAAAGGCATTGTAACTCTTAGATTATGCTTTTCCAGTTGACCAGAGTCATTATATGTGTCTTTGATGTTAAAAGAATGAGAAAATTTGAGTATTTAAATGCTGTTTGGTAGGCAAAAATCTTTTCAAAAGAAATCCATACGGGAAGAATTTATAAAGGGATCCTTAGTATGAGGATGCAGTCCATTTGTGTCATGAGGGAGGATGTGTGTCTTCCTTGCCCTTGTTAATCTTCCTTAAGTGATGTAAATAATATCTAGCCTACACAGAAACCTTTGTAAAGTTATGTTGTTTTAAAAATTACAAAAGTAATACATGCTTGTAAAAACTAAAATATGTCTGATCAAAAGTAAAGGTCCTCTCCTTTATCCCCGTCTCCTTCCCCTTCTCAGAGTCTGTCACCATTAATGATTTGGTGTGTTAATTTTCAACCCAAGACATGTTTGAAGGAGACTGTAACAGAAACATCATAGCTATGTATTTTATGCTAAAATCCAATCCATTGGCCCTTCCTTATTAATGAGTTTACCTTCTGGTTCCAGAGCTGCTCAGAATTAACTCTGAAGCCCAGTCACCCTCATCACTAGGAGCTGACTAAGTTGGCCTGCTGTGAGCTTTGTTCCTCTCAGAGGCTGGGAGCTACCTGTATATGGTCATCCAGCCCCACTGGCCAGAATGACATCCACAATAGGCAGAGGCAAGAAATAAAGGTGAACATGACAGGGGGAGGGGCACAAAGATCTTACCTTGCTACCCTGATTATCTGGCCCTTCTCTTTAACCACTTCGGTACGAGTGTCGACTATAGTCAATAGCCACAGATGAATGTGCACAGCAGAGTGTTGACTAGTCGACAGCCACAGATGAACAGAGCATCGACTTTAGCCTACAACTGTGATATGACTTTTCTAATTTTTCATTTATCAAAATAAAATTGTGAACATTTAAAAATAACATAATGAAAACATATATGTATATGTTACCTATTCTGATTTACATTACAAGTAAAGCTGCCTGTATAGTAAAACAAGCTTTCAGTGCTTTAAAGCTTTCCTCATCACACAAGAGCAAGATTCGTTGTCAATGCACAGCACAAACGATCCTGCAGACTGTGAGTGCTGGCTGTGGGCAAGGTTTCGTGGCCGGTGAGCGTGGCACCAAAGTGTTTAAAAACGAAATGACTTTTAGCAAGAAACACTGAAAATATAAGCCAGAACTTCTCTGTACACACGTAGAAGGGGATATGTGGGATAGGCCACGACAGACAGCCTTAGTACAGGTTGAGCATCTCTAATCTGAAATCCAGAATGCTCTGAAACCCAAAACTTTGAGCACTGACATGATGCCACAAGTGGAAAATTCCATAGGTAGTTAACGTAAACTTTGTTTCATTCACAACATTACTTAAAATATTTTATTAATATAAAATTGCTTTCAGGCCATGTATATAAGGTGTATGTGAAACACAAATGCATTTTGTGTTTAGATTTGTGTCCCATCCCCAAGATATCTTATTATGTATATGCAAATATTTATTCTGAAATCCAAAACACTTCTGGTCCCACGCACTTTGGATGAGAGCTACTCAACCTGCATTTTATAATTTCTGTAGAGCCAACCAGGTGAGGCAGCCGTTTAAAGTTCATGGATCAGCCCTGTGAACACCTGCCAAGCGATGAGTTGTTACAAGGCCACAGGTGTGTGCGAGTCTTTATAGCACCCTCAACACTGAGCTGCAAGGTTTCAGCTGGCAGTATCCAGGCAGTTAGGGATTGAGTGTGTCTTAATCACCATCCTCATTTGTCTTTGATGGGAAGGTGACTAATATTTAGCTTTTGACCAGAATTTTTATTTTGTTCTCCTTGCACCAGGCACTGTTCCTAAATATACATTAACTTATTTAATCTTCACAACAGCTCTATGAGTTACTCATTGCCATATTATAGATGAGAAACCGAGACACACAGAAATTAAAGTGGCTTGCCCAAGTCACACAACCAACATGAATCCAGTTTGGCTCTGCCAGCATTTTCTCAGAAATGTTACATTTTTGTTGTCATGATAGCTTTGTTCTGAAATACTAAGCACCTGTCTCCTCAGTTTGTAAGTGGTAACTTTGTAAAAGTTTGCCAAACTGTTGAAAAGAGCCTTGTGTTCTGATCCTAATATTCATTCAGATAAGTATATAATTTTCCATCCACCACATGCTCTTCACCTTTCGGTTCACATTTCATTTTCACTTCCCCTTGTTTTTCGGTTCTCGGAAACGTTTGCCTGTTGTTAAATGCAAAATGGCTGCCGGGTACTTCTGCTTTTTTCTTTCACACTGTCTCTTTCCTCCTTTCAGAGTCAATGCATGTGTCGATGTGGTGCTTTCAGGGGTGAAGCTCTTGCAGGCACTTGGCCTGAGTCCTGGGAATGGGAAAGATCACACCATTCTGCATTCAAGGAATGATCTGGAAGAAGCCTTCATTCACTTCATGGGAAAGGGAGCAGCTGCTGAGCGCTTCTTCAGTGATAAGGAGACTTTTCATGACATTGCCCAGGTTGCATCAGAATTCCCAGGAGCCCAGGTCTGTTCAGTTCACCAATAATAAATTAAGACAGGGTGGGAAAAGAGGTCTTTTTAATATGGTTCTTAGAAGAAAGCAAACAACTTTTTCTTCCAGTTTGCCCCAAGATGGTGATCATTGGGAATCCAATTCTGTTGCATTTTCTCTTTTTGTAAAACTCTGTATCTGACCTCCCAGTATATAGTTGTCTTCCCCGGTTGTGACAGCCAGAAATGTCTCCAGACGTTGCCCAGTGTTTCTCCCATGTGGAAGAGTAGGGGAGCAAAGTCACGCCTGGTTGAAGACTGCTAGTCTAGATTGGTGGATCTCAGACTTCAGCATGCATCAGAATCATTTGGAGGTGGGGGTGGGGTCCACTGTTAAAACGCAGATTCCTGGGCCTACCGTCAGAGTTTTGATTCAGTGCATGTGAGCTGGGACCCAAGAATTTACCTTTCCAGCAAGTTTCTTGGTTGATGCTGTAAGTCTGAGAATCTCATCTTGAGAATCACTGGTCTATAGGGAAGAACTTGTCAGAGATAGAACCTTAGTGATCCCCAAGCCCACCTGATGAACATAAACAAAGCCCTGCAGCCTGCATGGTCCAGGCACTTCCTGGAGGCTCACACAGAGTACAAAGTAATGCTGGGGCTGGAGGCCCAACCATGGCTCTTCCCACCTCACCCCCACATGCCTGCTACTGCATGTACCGCATGCTTCTTGAGGCTGGGTTTTTATTGTTTGGTTAAGTATCTCCCCTGTCCCCTGCCACCACATTCTTCTTCCTCACCTAAAGCCTTCCTTTGGCTAGGCCCCCGGTCTGTGTCTGTAGTTCTAGCCAAGGAAGCTCTTCATGCCATTTTTAATTGGTATCTTTCACGGGCAAACCTTTGTGACCACTTTTATTTTGATGACTTTTAAGATTTTAAAGTTTTTTATCCTTTGAAGCTGCCTATTTGAACATTAGAAGTGGGCACAGGCATGACCCAGCTGGGTTTCTGAAGGAGACAAGTTGCTAACATTTTAGTTCTGATCATTTTGACAGCCGGGCTCATGGTGAGATTCTAACCTCTCAGGCGAGAATCGTGGTGGTTCTAACATGATGATGAGTCGGCTGCTCAGAAATATTTGTGATCATGGTATTTAAACCACCAATTTGATTTCTGTTCTCTTCTGCCTTGGACCTGCTTTTTGTTCATAATGAAAAAATTTTTTACAGAAACTTTATTTAGTTTTTTGATGGCCCAAATTATTTCTTAACATTGTAAAACCTAAAATGTAAATGTTCTTACCTTCTACTAGGGGGGCACTTCAATTTGGTTCCTTTTCAAAACCCCCTTAAACTAACGGCAAATTGACTGATAAATAACAGTTAATAACCATTATATGAAAACTCTGAAATCCACTTTGTAGATATCTTAGTATATTCCTCCAAGATTTTTAAGTAAATCCTTCTAGCCATCATCGTTAAATAAAACATTTATTAAGGCTAACCTATTAAACAGCCAAATTTTAACCTACATACCACAGAAAGTTTTAAATTATCTCTAAAAAGCTGTTACTTTTCCACCTGAATTCAGAGGTTGGTCGGCACAAACTGAGGGATGAGTGATGTCTAGCATCTAGAGTTGTTTGTTTAGACTATGCCTCTGCATGGGCTGAGGACTAGGAAGGTTGGGTAGTACATCCCACCCAGGCAAGACTATTGATTAGGCTTCTCAACTTTCATATTAGAACAGCAACCTTGTCTCCCGTTTGTCAGGTTTCCAAGGCACATGGATCTATCCTTAGTCAGCAACATGGAATACCAACCTTGAATTATTTGTTCTCTAGATCCTCAGCTCAGAGATGTGTTGTTTAGGGGGAAATATTGTCCTATATTAAGGACCATTACTTTATAATAGAATTTACTCCTAGGAAGCCTGTATATTTCCTAACACATCTGTGTGTTTCTTACTTTCTAAAAATTTAGCATCAAACATCTACTGAGCACTTACAAAAAGAAGACAGTCCCTTCTCTGAAGGAGCTAGTCATGTACCCAGATGATAATGTACCCAAGCAGACAAGGGCTATATTAGATCAGGTTATAGAGGTAGAAAGGGAGCTGTTTGGTGAGCGCAGTTGTGGAGGCTGAGATGTCAGTGGGGAACGGAGAACAGAGAAGGCGTCGCAGGAAAGGTGATACTGCAGCTGTTTCTTGAAAGGTGCTCAGGGGTTTACCTAGTCTAGTATATGAGGAGGAGGGCATCTTAAGGAAAGGAAAAGCATGTGCCAAAGGCACAGAGACAAGGGAGGAAGGCTGACTTGGAGAGCTTCAGGCAGGGTGTGGAGGGCAGGGCAGGAGATGGAGGCAGAAAGGGAAGCATGGGTCAGATAAAGAAAGGCTAGGTGTGCCTCAGTTGAGAGTTAGATTTCAGTTCATTTTGATATCTGCTGAGAGATTTTCAGGAAGAGAGTGACTTTTTTTCTTCATTTGAGAAGGATTACAATGTAGAAGATAAGATCTATCTGCACTTTTCATGTTTCCTGCATCTCTTGCCTGGAAGCGCAGAGCCAAATTTGACCTGTGGTTAAAGCAATCATACTAATTTTCATGGTTAGCGTATTTATTTTCTTTGCCTTTCCCTATCATTCATTGTCTATTTCTATGTCTTACTGACCTCATCTGTGTATCCTTTGTTGTAAAATCACCTCAAAATGTTTTTGGGAAAAATGAACTATAAATTAATTTTTTAAATTAAAAATTATTAAGCTTGATATAGTTGTGTTAAAATACTAATAGCTTTGAACTATCTTACAGCACTATGTAGGAGGAAATGCAGCTTTAATTGGACAGAAATTTGCAGCCAACTCAGATTTAAAGGTAGGTCCAATTCTCAGATTAAAGTCTGTGCCTTTCACTAAATGGTGTCAGTAATTTTAGGAGTGAGAATGAATATTTGTACTTGATTCTACTATGGATCACATGCAGTGTGCCAGACCCTGGGCCTCTGCTTAGGAAACAATATGGTAATAGTAGGAGAGCAGTAGTAACTAACAGTTTCTGAGGAGTTCTATGTGTTTGACATTGTCTTTAGTGCTTTACATAGATTATCTAATCCTTACAACGACCCTATGAGGCTAGTTGGTACTTTTGATGGTACTGTCATTGTCCTTGCTTTCCACATGAGGAAACTTGAGGCATAGAGAGGTTCACAACTAATATGTAATGGAACTAGGATTTTAACCTAAGCATTCTGACCCAAAAACCCATGTTCTTAAATACTGTATTGTGTAATGATTTGTAGCATGTGGGCCCTGGAGTCAATACCTGAGACTTGGGATTATACAGGTGATGAGAGAAACCATAGGTGAGCCTAGATCCAGAGTGTAGCAAAATGAAAGCCTCTAGATGGGAGTCAGGAGGGGAGTGTCTTCAAGTCTTAAACCATTTGGTTAAGTAGAACTAAAAATTATTGCTGTGTTCAAAATAGTATCCAAGTAAGAAGTTTGTCTTGCTATGAGTGGAATAGGTCTGAATGGGGAGGCCAGCAGAGAGGTTATTGCTGTCGTACTGTAAGATGATTAAGGTTTGTATTAGAGCAGCCAGAGAGGAGAAACCTATGTATCTGAAACCTACTGCTGTGGGAGCACTGGCTTGGCTAGACCATACACAGGGAACAAAGACGAGAGATGTAACAAAGACGATTCTGTAGTGAATAAACTAGAGAAGTGCAGAATGTTTGTAGCTGCTCACAGGAGAGAAGGGAACCATGAACAGTTCTCTAGCTTTGCCTAAAAATAGAAAGATGGGTCCGAGCCAGAGATGAACTCTGTACTACAGATAATAGATGATCAGCAGTTTTGGGGGAAAAATTCATATTGAGCCAGCCACACTGTACACCAGGAGATGGGTGTGCTTTAGATTGAGAGAGTTTATTAAAGTGTGAACATTTTAATAAGAATTAAGGGTCTCATGAAATATTAGAGTAGAAAATATAGATTTTTCTAGTCATTATCCTTACACATAGTAATTAAAATAGAGAAGATTAGAAATTCCAGGGCTGACCTTTGGAAATATTAGCAGTTAATGGGTAGAAGAGAAGAAAAGATCGATCATAAGGTCTGTAGAGAGAGCCTTTCGCATCAGAATCCCAGGGGTTTTCATGGGTCCCTAAAAGGCTACCCTCCTGATCCTGAGAAATAATTCTGGCCTCTGGAAAAACAACACTGGAAGTCGTGGGTGAGTACAAGATTGACCTTTCAGTATTGACTTCCACTGGGCCCAGCATTTGCTCTTGGTCTTTGGAGAAGCTGAGCCTGGGAGCAGTCTGATTGGAAGGCATTCTGATAAAATGGGGGTGGCCTTTGTAGGAGATTGAGGAAAGAAAAGTGATATCTGTTACCCAGTCCTCACAACTATCTTATGATTTTATAATCTTAAAGATAAGAAAGGTCCAGAGAGGCTATGTATAGTACCCGGGGTCTCCTTGCTGCTAAGTGGTGGACCCAGGATTCAAATGCCAGGCTCTGCCATTACTTCACCACCGTATACTGCTCTCTCAAAGAGATTCAGTTTAACTTGCTGCATGCTTCTCAGCATGGACTGATGATCGTCTGAAAACTACCAGAGACTAAGAACTAGGTATAATAATAGCTAACACTGACTTATATCGTTCTTATTATCTCAGATCCTGTCCTAAGTGCTTTACATACAAACAAACTCATTTAATCTTCACAGTGCCCTGTAAGGGAAGTCCTTTTACTATTCCTATTTTGCAGATAGGAAAAGTGAGGCATGGAGAAATTAAGACTGCTCAAGGTCATATACCTAGTGATGGTAGAGCTGGGATTTGAACCCAAGTAGTCTAGCTCTGGAGTCCATATTTTTAGTGGCCATGCTATACTGGATCTCAGAAATAGACCCTGGTGAATATAGTAAAGGTAGATTTATCAGAATGGTGGAATAGAAGCCAAATTGTAGGAAAGGAGCTATGCCTTTAAAAAGTATATTTGTGTGCCACCCACAGTGGCTCACACCGGTAATCCCAGCACTTTGGGAGGCTGACGCGGGAGAATTACTTGAGTCCAGGAGCAACCTGAGCAACATAGTGAGGCCCTATCTCTACAAAAAATAAAAAAAGTAGCCAGTGTGGTGGCACACACCTATAGTCCCAGCTACTCAAAAGGCTGAGGCAGGAGGATAGCTTGAGCTGAGGAGTTTGAGATTGTAGTGAGCTATGGTGACACCATTGTACTCTAGCCTGGGTGACAAAGTGAGACCCTGTCCACCCCCCAAAAAATATATATATATATATAAATATATACATACACATATTTGTGGAATTTAGCTAAGAATAAGGAATAGATGCTGTATTTTGTCAAATGCTGCTTCTGTATCTATTGAGATAATTGTATGGTTTTTGTTTTTCAGTTTAGTAGTAATATGGTAATTATATTGACTTTCAAATAGTAAGCCAACCTTGCCCCCCTGGCATAAACCCTACTTAGTTCTGATGTATTAATTATCCTTTTCATATATTGTTGGATTCAGTTTACTACAATGTTTAAAATTTTTACATCAATTTCCATGAGGGATATTAGCCTATATTTTTCTTATTTCTTATGATGTAATACTGGCCTGAGAGAAGGAGTTGGAAAGAAGAAATTCATGTAGAATTGGTATTATGACTTCCTTAAATGTTCATAGAATTCACCAGTGAAGCTTCTAGGCCTACAGTTTTCTCTGTGGGAAGGTTTTGACGACATTGATTTCTATTTATGTTATGTTATGTTATTTTTGAGACAGACTCTGGCTCTGTTGCCTAGGCTAGAGTGCAGTGGCATCATCATAGCTCACTGCAGCCTCAAACTCCTGAGCTTAGCAATCCTCTTGCCTCAGCCTCTCAAGTAGCTGGGACTACAGGTGCCAGACACCTCATCCTGCTAATCTTTTTTTCTATTTTTGGTAGAGACAGGGTCTCACTCTTGTTCAGGCAGGTTTTGAACTCCTAACCTCAAGCGATCCTCCCCACTCAACCTCCCAGAGTACTAGGATTACAGGCATGAGCTACCACACACCAGGTCAACATTGATTTCTTTAATAGATGTAATGAAATTGAAATTTTCTGTTTTTTGGATGAGCTATGGTATTCTGTATCTTTCAAGGAATATGTCCATTTCATCTAAGTTGTTGAATTTATTGGCATAAATTTAATTATAATAGTCCCTTATCCCTTTAAGATCTCTAGACTCTGTAGTGAAACTATCTCTTTCCTTCCTGACATTGGTCATTTGTGTCTTCTCTTTTTTTCGCCCCCCCCCCAGCAGTTTGACTAAAGGTTTATTAGTTTTATTGCTTTTTTCAATAGTAATGAGCTTTTGGTTTCATTGATTTTTCTTTATTGTTTTTCATTGACTTCTGCTTACTTTGGATTTAACTTGCACTTATTTTTCTAATTTCTAAAGAAGCTGTTGTTGATGATTTGAGACCTTTCCTACTTTCTGATATAGGTGTTTAGTACTATAAGTTTCTCCTTAAGTACTGCCTTAGCTGTATCCCATGGATTTTGATACATTATTGTAATTTTCATTCACTTCAGAGTACTTTCTAATTTCTCTTTGATTTCTTGAGATGCACTATTGAATAGCTCACTCATGGACTATTTAGAGGTGTTATTTAGTTTCTAAATATTTGGGGATTTTCCAGATATCTTTCTATTATTGACTCTATTTTAATTCCACTGTGGTCAGAAAATACGATTTTTATAACCTGACTAAGGTCATATGAACTTTTACTAAGTTCATTGAGACGTTTTTATGGCTCAGAATATGGTCTATCTTGGTGAAGTTCTGTGTGCGCTTGAAAAGTTTTGAAGAATATATATAGGTAGTTCTGTTGTTGGATGGAGTGTTCCGTAAATGTCAGTTAGGTCAAGATGGTCAATAGTGTTGTTCAAGTCGTCTATATTCTTACTGATTTTCTGTCTGCTTGACCTATTGATTATCAAAAGGGGGTGTCAACATCTCCAACTATAATTGACGCTTGTCTGTTACCCTTATAGTTCTATAACATTTTGCTTTAGGTATTTTGAAGCTATGTTATTAGATGCATTAAATACATAGGATTGTTATATTCTCTTTATGAATTTAACCCCTTTATCATTGTCAGGGATAAAGAAAATCATTTCATAATGTTCTTTGTTCTGAAATCTATTTTTATTGAAATAGCCATCCCAACTTTCTTTTAAATATTAAAATTTTACATCTCTTTCTAGCCTTGTGTTTTTAACCTATTCATGTCTTTATATTTAAACTGTATTTCTTGCTGGGTGCAGTGTGGTGGGCACCTGTAATACTGTAATACTAGCTACTTAGGAAGCTGAGGTAATAGGATCACTTGAGGCCAGGAGTTCAAGACCAACTTGGGCAACATACTGAGACCCCATCTCAAAAATAGATAGATAGATAGATAGATAGATAGATAGATAGATAGATAGATAGATAGATAGATAGATAGATAGATCGGCCGGATGCAGTGGCTCACACCTGTAATCCTAGCACTTTGGGAGGCTAAGGCAGGAGGATCGCTAGAGGTTAGGAGTTCGAGACCAGCCTAGGTAACATAGCAAGACCCCCATCTCTACAAAAAATAGAAAAATTAGCCAGGCATGGTGGCGCATGCCTATAGTCCTAGCTACTCAGGAGGCTAAGGCAGTAGGATTGAGGCTTGAGCCCAGAAGTTAAAGGTTACAGTGAGCTATGATCACACCACTGCACTCTACCTAGGTGACAGAGTGAGCCCCTGTGTCTAAAAAAAATTAAATAAGTAAAACTAAAGTATAATTCTTATAGACAGTACATAGTTGAGGCTTGCTTTTTAAT